TTTTCACAAACTGAAAAAATTTACGTTCAGACATGTAAACAAAACACTGAATAGTTGTCATTTGACGCAGTTGCAAAAGCAAAATTGAGAGATGAGCTAATTTGTGCGGCACCGTCACCGTCAGCTTGTTCATGTAACTTACTTCATACAAATACACCGAATCAACTTTTTTGACAACTGCCGATGACGGTGACGGCGACACAATGCACGTTATGTACTTTCACTTTTATTGTGTGGGGCTCTATTCTGTAACTGTGAGTTTTGAAGTGTGCACTGAAAATTGTGTGCACTCTTCATTTTCCGATTCAGGAAGAGTGAGAATGAGTTTTAGATGTCAAAATTATATACACTTACTTGTTTTGCGATTCAGCATGTGTGAGAATGAGTTTTAACTGTCAAAATTGAGTACGCTTCTCTTCCGAAAAACTCACTGAATTTTGGTCGGTGAGTTTTAGGTTGTGAGTTTTGCACTCGGTGTACACTACATTTTCTCACAGTTACAGAATAGAGCCCCTTGACTCCTACTTTACAGAACAATTTGGCAACTAATACATATTCTCAACTGTCTTGTCTTAAATTGTCTTATGTAAACGCAGCGTTAGTTGGTTATACAAAGTTTGAATTACAAACTGTCAGCAAAGTATAAGAATTGTGTAACGCTGTGTTTACGTAGAACAATTTGAGACAAGACAATTGAGAATATGTATTAGTTGTCAAACTGGGGCCGAATCACGGTTCTCTTGATCGAGCAATATCTTTCGAAATTTTCTGTTGGCATCACCGCATTCGTGATCGAGTAAAAGTTATCGACATTTGGCATCACCACATTCGATATCGAACAGAAGTTTCTCAAGACTGGGTCCATACAGAAAAGCTTTTGTTGCTCATTTTCGGCAACTTCTCTTTTGGTGTTGCCCTTCGCGTTCACACAGAGCAATACTTTTGTACACAATTATGGGTGTCAGCTGTGAACGGCCAACTAGAATTGCTCAGACGAACGAGAGTACCCTTCCCCCTTCCTCGTCACTCCCTCGCACACAAGTAACGAGTTGCCGCGACAAATGTTTCTCTGTCTGAACCTAGACCAAACAACAACAAAATACATGGCATGATGGAAACCAAAAGTCAAAAGCGAACCCGTTCCTCGCATAATGAAACTCATGATAAGACAGACTGGTTATAATAGGAAATCCTTGGGGCCGGACTTTATAAACGTAGTATAATATTTACCTCCACTGAAAATCGTATATTGCCACCCTGGCGATTCCAGTTTGACATTTCGTTTTGTTTTGTCTTTCTCTATTTTGATTCCCAATTTCATCCTTTTGGACCGAAATGGGTGGGTAAAGTTTCTGGCATTCTGGGCTTGCCTTCATATCGGTTTGTGTGTGATATTTGGAAAAGTTATTTTGCTCAAAAATCTAGGCAGAATATTTCAAACTTAGTAAAATATTATGTATATATTTGTTAGTTACACTCAGCAGAAAAGTCAAATTCGCGTTACTTCATAAAAGTTGTTTAAAATTTTGGAAATCCTGGACTTATACGCAATTTTTCCTGGTTTTAAGACGATTTCTTTTTTATTTCGTGATCGCGCGTGTGTCCACGCCTAGCGTTCCCTACTCTGATATTTAAAGAATACATACAGCGCCAATGTAAAAAAAAATAAAAACAGAATCATCCAATTAACGTCCTTGGCTAGAAAATGGGTAAGTGTTTATTAAATAAGAAAACGACAAAATGAACAAAAGCATAGCTAATAATGGTGCAGATGGTGTAAAGCTATCCTGCAAGAGGGTCGCATGAGTACTGACAATTAATGTGGTTGTGATGGTGACAATTGCATTATCCGCA